GGGGGATGCTGTCTAGAAGAAACAAATGGCTGATAGAAATAGGGTCAGAAATTTCACTAATAAGTGACCTGAGATGTACTTACCATTTGCCTCTTTTGCAATTGAAAAAATATTTTTTTTATTTTTTAAGGTTTATTAAGCACCAGTCAGCCAGGCACTCTATTAGGTTCTGTGACTACTACAGTACCAATTGACTTTTTCTTGAGACAGAGTCTTGCTTTGTCACCCAGGCTGGAGTGCAATGGCATGATTGTGGTTCACTGTAGCCTCCACCCCTTAGGTTCAAGAGATCTTCCTTTCTTAGCCTCCCTAGTAGCTAGGACTACAGACACAAGCCACCACGCCCAGCCATTTTTATTTTTGGTAGACACAGGTCTTGCTGTGTTGCCTGTCTGGTCTCAAACTCTTGGCCTCAAGTGATCCTCCCACCTTGGCCTCCCAAAGTGCCAGAATTATAGGCATGAGCCTCTACACCTGGCCCGAGTATTCTTATTTTAAAGCAGGCTTCAACCCAGGCTTCTCATGCCCTCCTTGAGTCTGAATTAAACGCATGTGTATGTGTGTGTGTGCATACATATATATGTAAACACACATAAATGCATATATAACTATACAAAAAGTGACAGATAAAACACTGCTGTATTTTCAAATCTCTTATTTTCCCTCCCACCAATGCCAAGATTTCTAATCCATCCCCTTGAGGATTACTGTTCTAATAAGTAAAATATTAGCAGGCACTATGTATTGAGCCACACTTCCCAGTTATGAAACCTGAAAGGTTAGGGAAAGACAGAGTAAGCAGCTTCAAAATAATAACAGAAAGTTTTAGTCACATGGCATTGAAATTGAATACAGATAAGTTTTTTTTTTTCTTTGAGACAGCCTTGCTCTGTTGCCCAGGCTAGAGTGCTATGGTGTCAGCCTAGCTCACAGCAACCTCAGATGCCTCGGCTCAAGCAATCCTCCTGCCTCAGCCTCCTGAGTAGCTTGGACTGCACGCTTGTGCTACCACGCCTGGCTAATTTTTTCTATTTTTAGTTGCCCAGCTAATTTTTTTCTATTTTTTTAGTAGATATGCCTCTCTCTTTAGTAGACAGCCTCACTCTTGCTCAGGCTGGTCTTCAGCTCCTGAGCTCAAGCAATCCTCCCGCCTCAGCCTCCCAGAGTGCTAGGATTACAGACATGAGCCACCTTTCCCAGCCCAGATAAACTTTATTTACCCCAGTAGAACATCTCTTGTTTTTTGTTTTTTTTTACCGAACTTCATAGACTATATGTATCTCTCAATTCCTCTTTATTTTTCCAGCTTATATTTATATGGGAAAAAAATTAGATTTATATCCCAAAACTTAATACAGCATTTTAATCAAAATTATGGGTGGAAAAATCTTGATTTACATTCTTAATAATTGGTAGTACCGCAGAAATCACCTGCAAGATGCCTTGCAAAGCCTGACAAGTAGATACTATCTCCACTGTTGCTTGCATTGCAGTCTAAGCTCCTTACACTTTGACCATTGTCTGGCATTATGTGTTTGTTCTGAACATTTTGCCACAATACCTTTTATATTTAGCCCCTTTTCCCCCCTAGTGTTATGCAAATT